GCCAGGTCCCAAAACTTCAGCACAGAAAATGTCGCGGCCTCGGAGCAAGTCGCGGCCGCGGAGGCTTTCTTCACCGCGGCCAGCGGGAATCTCCGCGGCCGCGGAGGGCGCAATTCCAGGTTTTTTAAATAGCAGATTTTTTAGACGATAGGGGGATTATTCTCTCCCCTTCTGGGAGATGAACCCTAGCCCGTAGAAAGCACACAAATCTCCTTCTCATTCATTCTCTTTTCTTCATCTTTCCTTCTTTATTTTCTTCTTTACTTTTCATTTTTTCTTCTTTTCTTTCTCTTCATCAATTTATTGGAATAAGCTTGTACTTCAGAATCGACACTTGAATTGAGATTTATTGTAAGTATTTCTCTCATATTTAATTCATGAAAAATGATTGATTTGGGAAAAATGCTTGTTTGTGTTGGATTTGTTATGAATAGCTAATTCCAATTGCTAGGGATAGGAGATGATTGTTCTTGTTTAATTCGTATCTCTCGGGCTTGAATTGTTCATTCTTGTGTGGGTTAATTTGATTAAGAATTGATGTAATCCTGCTTGACTAATTAATATAATCGAAAAGTGATATTTTGATCTTGCTATTGGTGACAGTTGGATATTAATTTGTCGAGTTAGGGTTTGTCAATTCTATATGATTAGTTGATTAAACACCTTCTAATTGACTTAGCGGCTTTCTGAACCGAAAGGGGAGAAGTCGTAGAAATAGGCTCATATGAGGTAGATGATTTCGTAATTGAATAATCTATGCGTTTTAAATTGAAATACGAGCTTGTCGATGACTCGTCCCTTGTTACGAATAGTTATTGGGACTGGGATCATTGGCCTGTTTTGTATGCTTGAGCTTATTCGTCTATGTTCAATCCCTTGTTACGAAGAGTTATTGGGAGCGAACCGCTAGATGCATAAGCGAGAGTGTCAATTTCGAACTGAATAATTGATAGCCCGAATTTGCTAAAACTTGAATTAATTATCCCCGATTCCCTAGCTTCTCCATCTTCGTTTCATTCATATTCTTAGGTAGATTTACATTTTTGCATTGTTATTTACTTCGTAGCTTATAATTCATCCAATCTTTATTTGATTAGAGTGTGTAGGATTTATTTTCTTTTTATGTGTTATCAATGCCAAAGTTAAATTCCGAACAGCCTTCCTCGTGAGATCGACCCGGAGAACGAATCTTAGATTCGGGACTCGGTAAAAAGAATAGTTTGTACACAACAGGGTTATAAAGATTTTTGGGTCCTTTTAGGGTACTATCAGTTATTTGCATGTTGCTTAACTGTTGTTTTATTATTTTTTGTTGTTTCATTTTTGTTGCTTTTTTGTTAATTTATTATTGTGTATGTATATAACTAATTGATTTTTTTTTTTTTATGTTTTTAGGTATTCTGTTTGAAGAAGACGAAAATAAGAAAAAGAAAAAGAGATGAAGAGAAAAAATCGTGAAAGTACAAGAAAGAGAGAGAAGGAAAAAAGAAAGAGAGAGAAAAGAGCAATTAGAATTTTAATTTGAATTGATGTAACTTACTATTGGAGTATTTGTGGAATTCATGATAAACTATCTCTTTTACGGAATCTTATTTTTAAGAGTAAATAATTTTTTCCAACCTGTACTATACGTGATTTTATGATTTTCAACCTAAACTAATTTTCGTTGTAAAAAGCAACCCGAACTACATATACAGTCAGTATTTGCACGCTCGACCACATCTTGACCATACACGTGTCCTTTTTCGTAGGTGATCGGATGATCAAAAAGTAGTCGAGCGTGCAAATAATGTATATATGTAGTTCAGGTTGCATTTTACAACAAAAAATATTTTAGGTTGAAAATCCAAAAAACACGTATAGTACAGGTTGGAAAAAATTATTTACCCTATTTTTAAATTGGGTCAGTTTTGTATTTTGGCCAAGGTTCTTCGGTCATCTCTTTGAGTTTGGGCCGGAGACACATCATACAAGGGCCAGAGAATAATTACTTCACTTGGGCTAGGAAAATAAACCAATTTGGGCCGAATACATTCAACTCAAACGGACCAGCAATTAGTTTATGGGAAATTTTTACACCTGCTACTAGAAATATAAGTATTTTGAATTTTACCTTCATACAAAAGTATTTTCAATTATATCTAATCAAGCTATTTTATTTATCAGATTGTCTTCATATCAGTTACCTTGTAACGTCCTCAATCCATTTGTTGTTACCGTGATTTCCGCCATGTTTTATCAAACAGTTAGTGCTCAAACACGGCAACCCATGACACATTAACAGAACCACACAAGATCCACATAAGTATTTGACTTTGTACCTTGGGGACGATAGAGTTGTCAGGGTCGACTACGATGGCGGAGGAGGATTCGCGTGGGAGACATGCGTCCGCGAGCATGAGAAAGTTGAGGAAATCATCAGATGTGTGCGTATCCAGGATCAATTTGTGGACGGCGAGATCCTCGCCGTCGGATGAGGGCGGCGACGGTAGTCAGTGGACGGTGAGGGACGGCTACTCTAAGGAGTGACAGATGACCAGGTTGTACATCAATGGCGTGTTCTTCTTCCACACAGAAAATTCATCCTCCACTACCTCTTTCATCTCTCTCTCTCTCTCTCTCTCTCGGATTTTTGTTGAGGACGTTATATTTTACCGGAAATATACTGGAAATATAAGTAAAATATACCAGAAAAAACGAGGTCGTGAAATTCTATAAAGAAAAAAAAAATACATGACAATCATAAATATTCTAGTTTAATTTACTTTATTAACGGTATATTTCTAATTTAAAAAGATATCTTTCACGTTTTATTAACAGTATATCTTTCACGTTTTATTAACAATATATTTAAAGTATATTTTATGTATATTTAAACATAATATCGGATTAGTATATGTCGACAAAATGGAATGTGTTGGACACACTGACAGTGATATATACTTGAAATATACCGATCATACCAACTGTTACATAATTGAAGCATGTCTCAAGTATGTCCCAAATTATATCATAAGTATATACTTTGTAAAGTATATGTATCTGATTAGTTTATTAATTAGTCTATATCACACTATCATATACTTATCATTTACTTGATATAAAACCAACACCTAGTTAGCATAAACTTGATATAAATCCACATAGACCTTAAAATATACATAAAATATACTTTAAATATACACTCGAGATTCAATCCCCCTCATAATGTCACAATTACACTACAAGCAGAAGAAGGCAAAGAAAAAATATACATAAAATATACTTTAGATATACACTCGAGTTTGAACCGTTTCTCAAAATCGATTTCAGAACCCACATATACCTAAGATATACACTCGAGATTCAATCCCCGTCAGAATGTCACAATTACACTACAAGCAGAAGAAAACAAAAACAAAACTGAAAACTGGTGCCTCTCGATAACAATAATAATGAAATATTAATCCAATTTTTGGATCCAATAGCGAATTAGCATCCCCAAACAAGTACTTGGAGAACACCTCGAGATTCATCCCCCGCCCAGTAATAATAAAAAATTAATCCAATTTTTGGATCCAATAGAGAATTAGCATCCCCGAACAAGTACTTAAGAACACCTCCAGATTCATCTCCCGCCTATGAAACAAGTGTGAGTGCTTTAGCCGGTTGATGACGCCCCCCCGCCATCGAGTTCGTTTCCCCCCTGCACCTCCGTCAGGAACCGCCGCAGTTCGTCAGCTTCCATAACCTATATAACCTTGCGAAATTCTCAATCCGAACAAACAATTTACAAATCGAACAACGGAAAACGTGATTGGAATCAAACAACGGAAAACTCGATCCTCAACCCCTGTCAATCTGCAAACCTCGACAACCGGTGACCTCACCTTCGAGCTCTATTCGCCTTGCCGGAAACCCTGCGACGACTAGGATTATGGTTCAATTTTGTCTTGATAATTATTTTTTTTCAACGAGTTTCGGTTGATTTTTTGGGAGGATTTTACGGAGCCGGGCACTAGATCTTATAACTGGTGAAACGTCACCACCATCTGTCGGAATTTTTCGTTGAGGATGAGGGATTTTGGTTTTTTCATTGAAATTTCAAATCAGCGAAAAACTGGTGAGCGGTTTCTGCAGATGAAGGGTTACGTGGGGCAATGGGGTGGTTTGGAGTAACTTTACCTTTTAGTTTCCACTTTTTTCAGTAAGTGGATAATTAATTTGACTTAATTACCTAATTACCATTAAACAAATGTTAATAACGGTTACTCAATATTTTTAGGTATAATTGAAAATATTTTAGGTAGTTTAGGTGATTTTTAAAAAGAAAATATAAGGTGTGCAAAAGTGTGATATAATTTAAGATTAACAGTATAGGATGCAATTTCTTCGTAATTTATTTTGGGCTGAAATAATATTTACAGGGCCAAAAATAAAAACAATAGATTGGAAGAACGGCTCGAAAGAAAACAACGCGATTGAATAAAGGATTTTTTAATGAAATTTAATAAAATTACACTATGCACGTACAATTAAATAAGGCAAGCTTAAGAAAAAGGGTTAATTGCATTTAAAACCTTAATCTTTTATGTAATTATAAATAAAACTCAACTTTTTTAATTTGGCAAAAACGTACCAAACCATTATTAATAAGTATTGCAATTGTGATTTGTGTCTCACCCGCCGGACAGCCGCCAACCGCCACCCGCCGCAGGCAAACTTCGCTGATGTTGAAATTTTTTACATGATCTTGTAGCTCTCCTCCGTGCCGACAACATATCTGAGTTTCACGAAAAAATTCCAGTGATAAGGCCTCCAATTTTTCGGTCAAAATCGTAGATCTTCAAACTTTCTCCGGCGTTCTTTTCGCAAATTCCCGGTGACTCGCTTTGGCCCATTTGAGTCCGAAAGTATCGTTGAACTCCTCTCTCGCAATGCCGCATCTAGTGACGTCCACCTTCACCGGAACCGGTGACTTTTTCCTGCGACGACATTTTCAGTCATCTTATTCAAGGTTTAATATGGTCGGAAACTGATTTTAAAACACAATTGCAATACTTGAAAAAGTTGAATTTTATTTGTAATTACACAAAAGGTTAGAATTTTAAATGCAATTAAACCAAAGAAAAATAAAATACAAGCACATAAAAATAAAATAAATGCAAGCAAATATAAAATAAAAATACGACAATTCGCGATAAACAATGTTGAATAAAAGCACAGCCGAAAACTTGACAAAAAGTTTAAAGTACATATGTGTAAGGATTGGTTTTCATGTGAAATGACAAAAAACAATGTTGGAAACACATAAACATGTGAATCACACAAAAATATATATCATCCTTATTACAAACACATCTTCACAGTTGCAAAATATGCATTAACTGAACAATCTTTCAATAACAAAAAAAAACAAGGAAATCAAGAGAGGCAACTTTTCGAATTTCATAACACTTCCGGGGCACTCCTGCAAATTATTAACGCGCATGCAGCATGCGAAAGCCATTCAACCCATGGCCTTCCTCAGAAGCTCGTAACCCGAAAAGTTCATTGCCCCAAGCGGCGTGACCCAGAAGAACCGAGGCACGGCCCCTTTGAAAAGCCCGACTGGCCCTAACTCGAGATCACTATAAACGATACTTTTCCTGTTTGCCTGTGACTGTCAACCATCATCCTCGCTTTTATAACGTCGATTCGGGTTGTTAAGACGGCAATTAGGCCTCCAGACAGAGCCCCGACAGCCACCGTTTCCCAAGGCTGCAGCTCTCGACCTATAAGCCGCTGGACAACCTGAAATAGAGTGGAAGTCTCGAATTAGACAAGCCGGTTAAGGTCAAATATTAGATTTTTACAGGAGTTTTTTGTCGAAACACGTTTGACACCAACTTTTGTCTTTCATTATTCTGTGTCTAAAGTCTAAACCCATGACAAGAGAATGTCCTGCATTTATAATGGGCTAAATTGCAAATTTGGTTTGTTAGATTATGAAGGTAGCAATTTAGGTTCCTCTGGAGTGACGTAAAGCATTTCAAGTCATGTAAAAATTTTGATGCTAACTTTTCGCATTTTAGTACAGTGATTAAATATTTTGCTAAAATTTTTACAGGACTAAATTCCGACTAAATTTTAGTACAGTGATTGGAAAACTTAAATTCCGACTAATTTTAAATTACAGGACATAAAATGCAACTCGAAAAAATAGGAATGTATTGCAATAAATAACTGAATTGCAGCAAATTATTAAATCACATGATCAAAAAACAAAATGTTAGAACCTTGGGACTAAAATTGCTATGCGTTAAACCAGGACTAAAAATGTAATTTTGTCATTTATATAGTTGGGATGGATTTTGATTAGCAATTTAAGTCCTACAATTTAAAATTTTATAGCAATTTTGGACCATAAAAACGAGAATTTTAACAGTTTCGACCAAAATTGCAGCAAAGTTTAAGGATTTAAATTGCTATATGTTACTCAATTGATACTTGACACCTAAATTGCTGCCGTCATAATCTAATAATATATAATAGGACTAAAATTGCAATTCAGCCTTTACAATTGTAAACCCGATGAATAAAAGAAGTGTTGCAAGCATTACGATTCTCCTCAAAATCTCGTACGATAGATGAATTTGTACCTTCTTGGACTCGGCATATAGGCCCATCCCAGCAACGTAGAACGGTATCTCCCGGCAGATAGTGGCGGCAGTGCCACAGAAAAAGCCACCGGCACCATCTTCCCGTCATGTCCCGACAATAGCTTGGCCCACATTTTCGAATAAACCGGCTTGCAATCTTTAATTCAATACCTCGCATGGAATTCTCATTGCCGTCCCCAGAAAGGTGCCGCAAAATGATGGCATGGATTCTACCTAATTAAAAACACCATGTTTAGAAATGAGTCTTTAGTTTAGTATAGTGGGTAAAAATTAAAATCCTTCCTCTTTAAGATGCTACATTTGTTTAATGATCATCTCACTCTTTCTGATTCTGTTTTTGAAAACTATGTTTCAGTTTATTGTTAAAAAAAAAATAAAAAAGAATAAAAAATGAAAATACTGCAACTTAAACAAAATTGAACAAATCGTTTACCACATGAAATCACCCTCACCTGCATTAATGGAAGTTCGGGTGCAACATTTATTAGCACGAGCTTGCTTACTTCACAAATTCCAGTCCGTAAGCCATGGCTGAATTATTCGGTAATTAATAACACACAGACACAGAGAGAGAGAGAGAGAGAGAGCTCAAATGGTACCTTGAAAACGGCCCTACGATAGCTGGAATGGAACCTCTGTATAATGCGCGGACTCCATACTGAGGAAGCTTCGACATAACTTCCGGAAGTTCAGGGTTGAAGAAGCTTGCACCCATGTCTGAAAACAAAAAAAGTCTAACCAGTTGAACAAAAATGACCAGAAAACCCCGCGTAAGGTAAAGAACAAAATGACCGAACTCCCCATCGTTTTACCGTAATTGCCTGAATTTCTCTGGTTTGATTCTTTTAATATTCAAAAACATAAAGTGATAATTGTGTACTTCAAGTGTACGAAGAATAAATGACTGTAATAATGTAATAATGCATCAAAGCGACAAGGCGTAAAGATATTAGCAGTAGCAATAATATAATCTTTGAGGACAAACTTTACCTTAATTGTGTCAACAGGGTGCATTATAGCTGCGGATAATGCACAAGAAAGCCCTACGGCTAATGCCGATTTCAAAACACTATCACGGGGAATTTCTACAGCAGAATTTATGCTCCTACCAAAATCACACAAAGCAGAAGTTTACAGTTAAAATTTGTACTCAGAAGCTGATACAAGATGAGCTACTTAAAATATTTCTAAATTCTACACGTGCGTCAAATTAAATATTTGGGTCCGTAACACTCAAAATTATGGGCGTTTGGGGAAAATATATAAACAAAATTGATATATTGGAATATGAGTATATTTCAATACTCGATACTTTTACAACCGGTACTTTTATAAAATAGCAAAGGGTAAAAATTAGCAATCAAGATGCAATTTTGACTCTCCGACATTGGCAGCAACTGAAATTTACATTAAAACTTCATTATTTTCAAAAATAACTTAAAGCAAAATATTTCAGAATAAAGAGAAACCTTAATTTACCGTGAGCCATCTCGAAGTTGATCAGATGGGAGCAAAAGCATAAAGTTGTGGAATTGCCCGTAAGATATACATTCCTTAGTGTCCTTATTCAGATAACTCATCATGGTAAAATCATTATCTTCCCTAGCTGGATATCCTGCATTTTCTAATAATGCCAATATTTCATTTTTCTCTTGCTTATTACACTCACCTGAATACAATCTCGTGTAATGATTGGCTCTTTCTTTTCCCACAGAGATACGAAATATTTCCAGCCAAAAGATTTAGAGAACAAGTGAGTCCTAGTACCCCGTAAGAAATCACGAGCGTATATCTTCGGCAGCTTTCTCTTTTCCATAGCAATTTCAAGATCTTCCAAACTAACTTTCCCATCACCATCTCTGTCCAGCTCCTGGAAGAATCTTTTTCCTGCAGAGACAACTGATTTTTGTGCTATTATTTGTTTCTTTATGAAAAAAAAAAGATGTTCATAATGAGATTGATGGAAGCAATATCACATTGATTGTGCTCTTGAATAGCAGTATTCGTGCTCTTTTTCGTTTCTTTTTTTATTGTTTTGAAGCATTTCACTATTTGGGGATGAATTGAATTGTTCAGCAAGCTTTCTTAATATGTATTTTCCAATCAAATAAAAGACATTCTTAACTCTTAAGTGAAGAATACCTGCCTTCAGCCTCGGTGTATTTCAAGAAATCATGCACAGAGACCGATTTCGACTCTTCATGATGGCCTTCCCTCAAACGCTTAAAATCGGACAGAGGAACACTAAGAATCCCTTTCGCCAGCTTTTGCAGCTCATTTTCTCCAACATTCTCCGCATCAACAGCATTTTCTTCTCCAATTTCCTTTACAGAAGACACATGTTCAACTACTGCACTCGATGGAACACCTCCAACTCGTGCAAACTTCAAATTCGTTAAGAACCCATCAAAAACATTCTCCTTGTCTCATAAACCCTACACAGTGTCTGCTCAAAATGATTATCAAGCGAGGTATAGCCTTCATAACCAGTGGTTTTAAACTCATGAGCTTGAAACCCCAGTTAGAACATTGGAAAACGACCCAGCTGATCAAATATCAATCTTTTCAAGTGTTCAATCGGTAAACCCTTTTTGCCTAATTTCACCATTGTTACATAAACTATCTAATTTGCCTGTCCAATCATGGATAAAGCTAAAATTGTCGTGCTCATTGTTTTTGTTCCCACATTTTTCAGTATAATTTCCAAGAACTGCACTGATCCGAACTCCCCTTTTCACCTTCTTCACCATAAAAGACTGCATCTTGACCACTCATCATTTTCTTATTCTTCACGTTCAACTGCTCAAAATCACTATTTTTCAAGATCAAAGCAATTCTTGAAATCCAAGGCAAATTTCCGGAAATTCGACTCAAGTGGATAGCTAACCACGACATGAACAGAGTGAAAAATTGAATCCAACGGATTACTCCCCCCTTGCAAAGCCATCACTATCATAAAACCTAGCTCAATCACAAAAACTCTTACGGAAAAAATCCACAGACACACAACACGATGACAGATTCAATCACACCCCGTGAATCTCATCGGATCCAAATATCGAACCCAGCTGTTGGTTTCTAATAAAATACAGAATTCATCAGTTTTATCTGCAGCCCATCAAGGAAATATAAATTCTCTTGTTTGACATGCATTACTAAATTTAATTATTCTCAATGCTTATAATATAATATAGAATAAGAAAAATGAAAGCGGTATTTCAACTTTATAAAAATTTAATCAATTAATTTCATAATTATGAGTATAAAAAATTAAATTACATTTAGAGATAGCAAATTAAATTATAATTAAATTAAAATTATAAAGACACACAAGCGCACACATATATATACATATACCATTTATATTTATTACATAAAATTTGATGGAAAAGTATATAAAGCATTCACTTCAGTTACGTATACAGAGAGGGTCAAGAGATTCTGCAGCTCCAAATATGCTTATTCACTTCAGTTACATTAGAGATTTTCATAGAGTTCTCTTGCAAGTCTGACAAGAACGCAATCAAGGTGCTCAGAAGCAAATATCGGTAACAAATACGCTTAGAAGCAAGAAAATGTAGCACCGGTAAAACATCAGCACAAATAAGATGCAACAACTTAATAAAGGGTAAGTTCTACTCTATCTGCAGTCACCGGTTTTCTTTTCTTTTTTTTTTCCTTCCTTTTTGCGTTGAATCAACACACATTACTATGCATGTTCCATGGCACTTGCCTCCTTTATAACCTCGGTGATAGGCACGCGCTTCTTCGAACACTACCGAATCGAACTGCTCAAATACTTTGAGTACACAACTGCCTTTCTGGGCAAGCTTGGCCCTGCCTGCGTCCAGTATTTTAAGGAAGGTGTGAAGCACGCCGTCGTCAAAGCCGAAGAGCAAGGATTTATTGGTTCCGTGGAGGAGAGCACCCTGTTATCCGATTTTCCAGAACCCATTGGATTGAACCGCTACAAGTCCCAGCCGGCTGACTTCCCCTGGTGGGAACCTGTGCTTGAGGTGGCAAAGACTAAAGCCGGACAAAAGGAGGAGGAGGAGGAGGAAGAAGAAGAGGGGTCGCCCTGATCTTGCTAGGGCATCGCCAGGGCGCTGCGGCTTAGTTTACTATTTACGCTTTTGATTGCTGTTTGTTTTTTTTTTTTTTTTTTT